CTATGCGTGAAATACCATTACTGTGGTTGGGCATCGCTATCACCGTTGTCGTCAGTGAGTTTTACTTCATAATAATGGTTACCTACATACTTATTACTCTCTGACAGAACTGTTTCAGCTATCGTTTTTAAATTTGTATACAGTTGTAACAGCTGAAGCTCAAGTGTCAGTAGTGGCTAGTTTCAATGACCCGAGATGTGATGGGCAGATGGTGTGTCCAAATGACCCTCTTCTCTTCACTTGTACTGTCACTGAAAGTACTGCGCCTGCTGCCAGAGTAACACTATCCTCTGGAGAGAGAGTACAAGTCACTAGTACCAACATGACTGAAGTAGTTGGAGCTACTCCTCTACCAGATGGAGTGACTGTACAGTCTCACAATGCAGTAGTGGATGGAGGACTAGTAAACTACACACTAACACTGGCTATCGAGAGAGCCTCACTGTTGGGTGGCAATCCTGTCATATGTGATGCTAATACTCTGTCACCGTTGACAGATGAGGCATCATGTCCAATAGCCACAGGTATATACAGCATTTCAATGTGATACAAGACCCACCATTGAACATCATACATCACTGCAGACCCACCAGGTCCACCAGAGTCTCTGAGTCAGGTTGTATCAGCCAACACTGAGACATCAGCAGTGGTGCAGTGGGGGTCTCCAGCCATGACTGGAGGCAATGGTGTGTCCATCAGGGAATATGTAGTGACGGTTGATGTTGGGATGACCCAGACTGTCAGCCATGATGATAGTGGAGATGTCTTCACTGCCACCATTACTGTACCACAGCTCAACACCAGCTACAGTGTGTCAGTGACTGCCATCAACTCTTGTGGTCTCTCCAGTCAGCCTGCCACCACCACTGTCTTCATTGAGGCCAGAGGTTAATGGGATTCATAACAGATAATACGAAGCACTTATTTGGTATGATGCCAATGCTGGTGTTTATTTCAGTTCCACCTCAGCCTACAGTACAGTCTCTTGTCATGTACTGCGATGTTCCTCTGAGTGGTGGTAGACCTGTTGTCATCAATTGGATGGTCAGCTAGTGGTTGATTGCGTACACATGCACACAACATGTTGGCAATGTTATTCTAGGAGGGAGAGAGGGAGGAGGGGGTGGTGTATCCAGGAGAGGAGATGGCAACAGTGGACTTGACTCCAGGAGGGACCATATGCTCTCTTCTCTCAACACCTAACACCAGTTGCACTGCTGCCATTACCAGTGACTGCAACAACTACAGCATCTCTATCACTCTCTCTAATGATATCGGGTCTTCTCAACCTGTATCCATCATCTTTAACTGTGAGCTTCAGCCTTTAAGTGTGTGTTTATAGAGCAACTTTACACTGTGAACGAGTTTTGATATGAACGGTGTCTCTCTATTAGCTGCCCCAGTGGAGGTGGAGGAGGGAGAGAGTCCAGCTGGAGGACCTGCAGTCGTAGTCAGTCTGAACCCTCTCTGTCGCAGTGTCCCCTACACAGTGGGGCTGTCGTTTGGAGTGAGAGAGAACAGTGGAGAGACGTGTCTTCCTCAGCAGAACGTGACAGCCAACATCCTCCCTGGAACCCCTGTCATCCTGCCCATTAATGTCACTACTCTTCCTCTAGTAGATGGCCAACAATACTGTTTCACAGTTCCCCAGCTAAACATTGAAGGTGGTATGTAGCTATAGATACAATGCAACAATCATTGCCATTAGTCCTACTTACTAGATCTGCCTACAACCTGTACAAGCACTTGTACTGACACTAGAGAAGAGAAGGAGAGTATATCAACTGGAGTTGCTGTGGCTATAACACTGACCATCTCTGTACTGGTGTCCTACCAGTGGGTGTGGTCATTGGTTCCTGTGGTACATGGTTCGCAATTCGTAGAGGAGGAGAAAGAGGAGAGAGGAAGAAGAAGAAGAAAGAGGAGCTTGTAGCAGCCATCTATGAGGAGCCAGTTCATTCAGTGGAGACTGCCATTCCTCTCTCTGAGAACCAGGCATATGGCCAGGTCTCTTCTCAGAGGTAGTAGAGGAAGGTTGTGAACTGTGCATTATAATAATATTACTTATGTAGTTTCATTCAGTGTACATTGTACAGTAAATCATCTCGTCAATTAGCTACTCTTCAATAATTTACTGAACCAAGGGCAGCGAAATTACATCATATTTTGCACTTGCATAATAGTCTACAGGTTACTGCACACACAAGCCTTCTTTACCATAGCATTTACCTTTCTCCTAAAACATATGGCTATATACGTTACTAGACACTTGGGATTTACATACAAGATACAAGATACAAGAGATTATTCCAATATTACCCTCGCGGGGTTGTGGGTTGTGGGGTGACTGCATGTGACAGTCACCATCCTGTAGAGGACAGCGGTGTGTACGTCTGCTCTGCCAGTGGGGTTCAGGGGACAGTCACTCTCTCTGTCATGGAGACAGAGTCAGGTCAGTAATGCTGTGAAACCATTGAATGAGATCAGAGAACGTTCAAACTCTCTCTGTCCTACAATAATATGGCGAGTAATGATTATCTTCAACTAAACTTTCCACACCTGATGAAACAGAGGTAAATATCCTCTGTGGTCCACGCAACACTTATATTTCACAGTTCATTGCAAACCATCCACTAATGCACAGCTGAGCAAGCCAGTAGTGGAACTCTATCAACTGGAGGTTCTGTGGCCATTACGTTCACAATCACTCTACTATAGTGTTCCTACCAGTGGGTGTGGTATTGCTGTCCCAGGAGAGGGAGGAAGGGAGAGAGGGAGGGGAAGATGAAGGAGATATCTACAAAAGCCAGATAGGAGGATGGCAACAGTCATCCATCTCTCACAGAATGAGGCCTATGTTCTGAGTCAACAGTTTTTGTTCTGCTATCCATTAACTGCACTGTATTGACAATTTAATGAAAAGCACTTAAGTGCAAACCCTCGGCGAACTGCGCATGCGCGGTATATTAGTATGCGGGGTCTCCCGCTACTATATAGCTCGCAGAGAGTATGATACGGGCTAGCTACAGTAGTAGATTAGCATGCGAGAGTCGATACATGCCCTTCGTTGTGACTTTTTGTGCCTTCAAAATACACAGAACAAGCAGACCCGGTCCAGTGCTAAATATAAGCGCATGCGCATTTTCCGCAGCGATAAAAATGGCCGACTACGCATTAGCCGTACAATGGTGGAAGCGCTCTAGCTTTGCAACGGAGCGTTTTCAGAGAAAACCGTTCGAAATTTCTGACCTTAATTGCCCGTTCGGTAGGTGGTATCCTTTGTGAGACGAAAGAACACTCGAGAAGTGAGATGAAGAGTAAACAGACAGACAGACAGACAAACCCAATGAAAAGTACTAAAGTGCAAACCCTCGGCGAACTGGGCACCGCTAATTGATGGGCTGGGCTGCGTAGTATACTCATGGTCTCCCGCTAGTAGCGTCTGACACGGGCTAGCTACAGTAGTAGATAGCATGTGGGAGTCGATACACGCCCTTAGTTGTGACTTCTCGTGCCTTCAAGATACACAGAGCAAGCGGACCTGAGCCTGTTGAAAATATAAGCGCATGCGCATTTTCCGCAGCGATAAAAATGCCCGACTAGCATTAGCCGTTCAATGGCGGAAGCGCTCTAGCTTTGCAACGAAGCAGTTTCAGAGAAAACCGTTCGAAAGTTTTGACCTTCATTGCCCGTTAGGTAGGTCGTATCGTTTGCGAGACGAACAGACATTCGAGAAGTGAGATTGAGAGTAACAGACACAGACAGACAAACCCAACTACAGTACCCTCGCTGCGCATGCGCGCCGAGGGTAACTACTGTAACCCTCGCTGCGCATGCGCACCGAGGGTTAATAAGCACCCCCCACCATCATAGGGCTAGGGCAGGCATGCGCTCATTCATTTTTGACGAGCATGCGTGCAACGTCGCTCTCATAGACGGGCGTGTCCGTCGTCGCCGCTATGTGTTTAATGGACTATGCGTGAAATACCATTACTGTGGTTGGGCATCGCTATCACCGTTGTCGTCAGTGAGTTTTACTTCATAATAATGGTTACCTACATACTTATTACTCTCTGACAGAACTGTTTCAGCTATCGTTTTTAAATTTGTATACAGTTGTAACAGCTGAAGCTCAAGTGTCAGTAGTGGCTAGTTTCAATGACCCGAGATGTGATGGGCAGATGGTGTGTCCAAATGACCCTCTTCTCTTCACTTGTACTGTCACTGAAAGTACTGCGCCTGCTGCCAGAGTAACACTATCCTCTGGAGAGAGAGTACAAGTCACTAGTACCAACATGGTTGAAGTAGTTGGAGCTACTCCTCTACGAGATGGAGTGATGGTAGTGTCTCACAATGCAATAGTGATTGGAGGACTATTTGTAAACTACAGACTAACACTGGCTATCGAGAGAGCCTCACTGTTGGGTGGCAATCCTGTCATATGTGATGCTAATACTCTGTCACCGTTGACAGATAACGCATCATGTCCAATAGCCACAGGTATATACAGCATTTCAATGTGATACAAGACCCACCATTGAACATCATACATCACTGCAGACCCACCAGGGCCACCAGAGTCTCTGGGTCAGGTTGTATCAGCCAACACTGAGACATCAGCAGTGGTGCAGTGGGGGTCTCCAGCCATGACTGGAGGCAATGGTGTGTCCATCAGGGAATATGTAGTGACGGTTGATGTTGGGATGACCCAGACTGTCAGCCATGATGATAGTGGAGATGTCTTCACTGCCACCATTACTGTACCACAGCTCAACACCAGCTACAGTGTGTCAGTGACTGCCATCAACTCTTGTGGTCTCTCCAGTCAGCCTGCCACCACCACTGTCTTCATTGAGGCCAGAGGTTAATGGGATTCATAACAGATAATACGAAGCACTTATTTGGTATGATGCCAATGCTGGTGTTTATTTCAGTTCCACCTCAGCCTACAGTACAGTCTCTTGTCATGTACTGCGATGTTCCTCTGAGTGGTGGTAGACCTGTTGTACTCAATTGGACGGTCAGCTAGTGGTTGATTGCGTACACATGCACACAACATTTTGGCAATGTTATTCTAGGAGGGAGAGAGGGAGGTGGGGGTGGTGTATCCAGGAGAGGAGATGGCAACAGTGGACCTGACTCCAGGAGGGACCATATGCTCTCTTCTCTCAACACCCCACACCAGTTGTACTGCTACCATTACCAATGACTGCAGCAACTACAACTTCTCTGTCACTCTCTCTAATGATATCGGGTCGGCTCAACCCATATCCATCATCTTTAACTGTGAGCTTCAGCCTTTAAGTGTGTGTTTAGCAACTTCAGAAAGAACTTTACTCTGTGAACGAGTTTTGATATGAATGGTGTCTCTCTATTAGCTGCCCCAGTGGAGGTGGAGGAGGAAGAGAGTCCAGCTGGAGGACCTGCAGTCGTAGTCAGTCTGAACCCTCTCTGTCGCAGTGTCCCCTACACAGTGGGGCTGTCGTTTGGAGTGAGAGAGAACAGTGGAGAGACGTGTCTTCCTCAGCAGAACGTGACAACCAACATCCTCCCTGGAACCCCTGTCATCCTGCCTATTAATGTCACTACTCTCCCTCTGGCAGATGGCCAGCAATACTGTTTCACAGTTCCCCAGCTAAACATTGAAGGTGGTATGTAGCTATAGATACAATGCAACAATCATTGCCATTAGTCCTACTTACTAGATCTGCCTACAACCAGTACAAGCACTTGTACTGACACTAGAGAAGAGAAGGAGAGTATATCAACTGGAGTTGCTGTGGCTATAACACTGACCATCTCTGTACTGGTGTTCATACCAGTGGGTGTGGTCATTGGTTCCTGTGGTACATGGTTAGCAATTCGTAGAGGAGGAGAAAGAGGAGAGAAGAAGAAGAAGAAGAAGAGAGAGGAGCTTGTAGCAGCCATCTATGAGGAGCCAGTTCATTCAGTGGAGACTGCCATTCCTCTCTCTGAGAACCAGGCATATGGCCAGGTCTCCACTCAGAGGTAGTAGAGGAAGGTGGTCAACTGTGTAGAATAACATTATAGTGTTATAGCTATGTCGTTTAATTCAGTGTATATACATTGTACAGTAATCCATCACGTCAATTAGCTACTCTTCAATAATATTACTGAACCAATGGGCAGCGAAATTATATCACTTTGCACTTGCATAGTAGTCTCAAGGTTACTGCACACACAAGCCTTCTTTGCCATAGCATTTACCTTTCTGCATATCTCCTAAAATAATAGCTACATGCTAGACACTTACTATTTACATACAAGAGATTTTATTCCAATATTTATCCTCGTGGGGAATGGGAGATGACAGCCGGAATATACACTGACCCGCCACCGTCCTATTTGTGATCCTGTCTGACAGTGGCATCAATGATGAAAAGTTCAGAGAGGGAGGAGAGAGAGAGAGGGGTGTAGATTACTCTGTGGAGAGTCATTTCAAACACTTCATTCTTGATCCATGTGCTTCGATATTGGTATAATAATTATACGGTGACTGATGTCTTATCTAGTGTGGCTGAGTATAATAAAACAGAAGTTTCAGTAGAAAGAGAAAAATGCAGAGCTGAAAATTCTGCCCAATCAAGCATTTGCTGTTTCAGTCATCACTGACGGACGCGCCAATGTATGCGCATGCGCATAATTACGACTCGATCTCGCCAAGTTGCATTCGCTTTTGCAGCAACAGACGGTGGGTTAGGAAACCCAGAGAGTGATAATGTTCCGCTATTAGGCCGTTATTTGCGTTGGGTGGAATATGTGGACCGCTGCAATACCATTAGTGTTGGTTCTGGTCCTTGCAGCGCCGCCGACTGGGAACTGTCAGGGTGAGTGGTGCCTCTGCAGTGCAGTGTGCGGCAGCAGCGCTCTGTAGTGCATCAGCTGGCTAACTATTATTCTTTCCCCTGGCCTGCTAGAGCATTCTGTTGTGAATGCTCCGCAGCCAGTCTCTGTAGCTCTGGGGAGCAACGCCACCTTCTACTGCACAGTCCTGCATGCGGAGGAGCTGAAATGGAGAATAAACAACCTGGACATCCCACTCAATGAAGAGTCTCTATGGGAGATTGCAGCAAGACCAGGGAATGGGTTCTTCAGGGGAGAGTTCTGGAGCAACTCGACTGTCATTGAGGCCTCTCTCTTGGTCTTTGCCTCGGTATCCAACAATAGATCAGTCAATATTTCTTGTTCGGCTTTTGGAGGCTATGAGTACCCACTAGAGATTTCTCCCAACGTTCAACTATCAGTGTTTGGTATAAACTAACTATTTACAGTTAATACCTCCATACTGTAACTAGCTATCTTTCAGGTTTACCCTTGGCCCCAGGCCAACTGGAGGTGGTAGGAGACACCCCCTACGAGCTCAGGTTTAGATGGAGTCCTCCATTCACTCTACGTGGAGAGATTGTCTCCTACTCTCTGCTAGTCCTGAACCTCAATACCAGCATGAACCACACCCTGGGCCCTCTCTCTGAGACAAGCTACACCCACCAGGTCTCAGAGACGCAGGCCTTGGCCTGCCACCTCTTCCGCTTCTCTGTCTTCTCTCTCAACGAAGTGGGCCCCTCCGTTAACTCCTCGTCTGCTCCTCCTATTCTCCATCCCACTGGTGAGCTGCATGTGTGTGTACTGTTCTGCCATGTCCCAAACCTCTGTGCTGTTGTTGTGCAGTGTTAAGCAGTAGTAGAGAACAACACATAGATAGTGAAACTAAAATAAGCACACTTGACTGACAATAATATGTTTTTTCGTGCAGTTCCAGAGATCGTGGAGATTACCCACACTGCAGTCACGTTCACAAACGGTCTTACCATTGAACTACAGCTAAAGGTAAAATGTGGAAATCACCAATCTCCTGAAAACTAAACAAACAAAGTTTCTTTTCAGATTCCACATATGTGCTCCCCAGCAGCACTCACCCTCTACGCAGAGCTGGAGGGGGAAAAGTCAGGCTCAGTGAGTTGTACGGTGGAGGAGATCAGTGGAGGCTCAGCCACTGTGGCCGCAGGAGAGTGTGGAGTGAGAAAGAACGAGAAATACTCTCTGGCACTGCGCGCAGAGAACCAGTTTGGACTCTCCAGCTCCTCAGAGTCCGTCACCATTTGTGAGTTGTGGTGAGATTTCCCAGAAAGGACAATTTGCTGCAGTTCACACGAGCATTTCGGCTTTAGGGGGTCCCGTTTCTCAATAACGCCTCTGTATACACATTCATGGGGTTCTGTTTAGTTTTAACACTTGTTGTTTGTTACCGCTGTATGCGTCCCAGATACCACACACGTCCAGTGGGGCAGTGCTCAAGAACTGGCCAACGGCTCCGTTCTACTAAAGTGTGGCTTTGCAGAGGGTTCCCGTGCCACTGGATGCCAGTTGACCATCATACTCGGTCACACTGGCAGAGTCCGTATTGTGATTCAGTTGCACAGGAAGAATAGCAGTCTACTGGAAGTATGGGAGTTATATAAGGGACCATTGGCGTGGGGGCTTCATCCATCTCTACTGGTGTCTGATATTGAAGAAGATGGACCTGACGCCACTATAGAGTTGAAGGGGGATATTTCTCTACTCACTACTACTGTATCCTCACTAGGTTAGGAGAGTGCAACGACGTGTTGTTGTTGATAAACATGTGTATTCATTTTACAGGAGCACCATCTCCCAGTGATTCTGTGAAAGCTATCACACCCACAGTGAAACAAACTGAGCCCATTGATAATGGTAAAATGCACTACATCAAAGCATACATTTGTCCGCTACAAAAAACAAAAAGATTCAGAGTGTTTCATCACCCACACACCTTCTTTCGGTATCAACATTATTATAGTACTACGTATGCAGGTTCAGGTGTTCCATCTTTGCTGGTTGTGGTGATTGGAGTACTAGCAGCTGCTATTCTGATTCTGATCATCACTACCCTCTCCCTTATCCTCTGTCTCAGGAAATGGGGTCGCAAACGAAGAGGTAAGAGTCCAGAAATCGCTGCCATTTTCATGTAAATGAGGGTAGCTATATAGTCTCTGTCTCCCACAATGAGCCTGATACACAAATTATTTAATAGCCAAATGTGGCCCAAATGTGGCAGTCTAAATTTAGAAACTAAAAATGGAAATTTATTGCACTCTTTCACTGGGCCCTATTGATTTAGCCATATCATCACCACCCTAAATCGCTAGCTACCACAATATCTCTACCATGCAGTTGTAAGGCGACGCCCCCAGGCAGGCCACACCTATGAAGATGTGGATGTTGCTAATCACTGGTACAAGATGGACAAACTCGGAGACCACACCCCCTCGGTGGATGTGGGTGTGGTTAATCCCGTACCGTTTTCCCCCACCTACCAACAGCCAGTGCTGGGTACAGAGGCCGATGCTTATGAAGTCATGAAACCCTCTGCACCTGTCATGATGACTGGACTCACTACTAATGATAATGTCTGCTACAGTTGTAATGGTCACTAGTGCAGAGGCTGATGCTTATGAAGACATGAAACCCACTGCACTTACACTGCACTTGTAGCTGTCATGATCACTTGACTCACTACTAATGTGCGCAGCATACGTAGAGCACCTAGCTATATATATGCCTTCTGCCGGTCGCGGTTACCCCCCCCCCTTCCTCTTCCACGCGCGCATGCTCCGTACGTTAATTATGCGCGTGCGCGCGTGCGCGTGGGAATTTCGGAGGTTAGAGGGGAGCCGGAGACAGAGGTACCCCAATGTGCAGTGCCGGCCATGAGAATGGTCTGGGCATGCGCAAAGCTGGCCTGCTTCTGAATCCCCAAACCATTACGTCACACCGTACTGGTGTAGGGAGCACAGCAAATAACAGCAAAGCTGCACAAGAATTGCGTAATAAGCTGTTAATTTACGCGTTGTACACGTACTCGCGGCCTAGCCTAGGTAGTACGGAGCATGCGCGCGAATGGAGGAGGCAGAAGGCTTATCAGCGAGGCTATGCAGCGCACGCAGCTATAAAAGCGCTTGATTTGAGAGCGGGGTAGTTTAGTGTGCGTGCTTAGCTAGCTAAATAACTGAACGGGAAAAAGCGAAGAATATTTCACCAACGCAATGGTCCTTTTCTTGTTCATCATAGTAGCAGTTTCGTTTACAGGTAAACTAAGCGGCGAACTAAGCCAAGGGAGCTAGTATATAGCTTATAAGTCACACACACGTGCACACAGGTTTTGTTATATACTTATTCCATCCACCAGCGACCTTCCTCCTGCAGTTAATGCATCACCACTGAAGGTGCTCCAGACCCAGCCACCAGGAGGTACCAATATGCGAATTCCAAGCACTGGATGTGTTGTACTGGAGTGTCTGGTGGAGGGAGGCCGTGCTGGCTGGGATATTGGGAAAGGACAAGCCTTTCAAGCTGGAGTACACCAAAATATTTCACTTGAAGATGGAATATATACGCTCCATTATGTACAATTTGTAAACATTACGGCTAATTACAGTGGGGATTACTCCGAACTATCCATCTGCGGGACTGGGGTAATGAACAAGACTGTCATTTCAGTGGCATGTTTTGCCTACCATTTCAATGATTTTTTACTGAAGAGAGTGCCAAAACCCCCATCCTCCTCATCATCAAACCACATCACAGTGGAAGTGCATGATGTCATGGACCCGAAGACTGTGAAGATTAAGTTCTTCAAAAACTCAACTTCTGTTCACCTGGAATGCAAGGATATAGATAGCAACTGCTTATTTCTCTTCGATGGAAAAATACCCTTCGTTCTCCAAAATAACACTGAAGAATGTGTGGATGTCAGTGATAAGTATGTTACTTCTTGTAGAGTGTATAAAGCTGCCTAATTTATTCCTCCTCCACCTTTTGCAGTAACAGGCTGGGATGGATATCTGTCTACCAAATAGACAGAGGAAAAGTGGGACATGCTCTTGATTGGCATCAACATGTGATGAATGAAGATCAACTTCAACTACTCTGTCCTAGCGGCACCAACACCAGTGACCCTACTGCTATAGACAATTCAACTGCTACTACCTCGTCTGCAGCAGGTACTTATCAGTTCACCGTTTTCTCCTCTGTTCTATGTTATTAACATAATATATATACCCACAGGACCATTAATTGCTGCTCTTGCTGCCCTGGTGTCTCTAGCTGTAGTGAACTAAACTCTCACTCACAAACTCAGAGGTGGATCCAGCTAAACAGAATACCCAGGGATTTTCCAGCTAAAGGGAATACCCAGGGATTTTCCCTACATACCTAACATACTTGTGAATATTGAATGCTGTGTAATGCTTGGTGTCTACTGGAATAATTTATATCCGCTGTTGCATCATGGTACTTAGTCTAGCTCTGCAAGAGGGAAGACCCATGCATGTCGCCCCGCCATGTGTGAATATATACTCTAAGCTCTACTTAGCCAAGGGAACAAGTCATGGTATATATTATCCAGTTAAAAATGCTTCAAGAATTGATTCTATCTCGGCTCTCCTCCTCCAAAGTCTTTACTCTATCCCTCAGTTCTCTGATGGTCTCTTTGTAGGCAGCCAGTCTCCTGTTCTTGGAGACCAGAGCCTCCACCAGTGCCAGGGTAGAGGACGAAGACACAGGTCCTCCCTCTGGTAACATCTGTAGCACTCTCTTCCCCCTCCTCCCTCCCTCTTCTCCTCTGGCCTCCACTGGAGACCCCCTTGTCTCGGTGCCTGCCAGCTTCCTACTCTCTGAGTCTCTGCATTCACCAATACAGCAAGGAATAGATACTTCGCGTGGATTTTTGTTGGAGAGTCAAAAATTTATGTAATGGGGATTTTTCCCAGCGACTAATTATGTTTGGCTTAGTTCAGTCATGCGGTCACTCGGGTTTTTTGAGCCCAGTTAGTGACCCATGACAGTAACCATAGACTACACAACCTGGACTCACCTAGTTCCTCTGGAGCTGCTAGGGAAGGGGGACCGGGATCCTCTCTCTCCTCCTCCTGCAGCCCCCAGGACCAGAGAGGTGAGAGTGGTGTTCATCTCCAGAGCCTTGCCCAGTGCGGTGACTCCTTTCTCTCCCACTGGGTTCTCTGACAACACCAGGACCAACAGACATCTGTGGGGTGGGATAATTCACATCTCATGAATCTAATGGAGAAACACATGCATATGAGCATAATATTATTCAACAGCTCAAAAGGAAGAGAAAAGAACAGGTCCTGTTTATTACGAATGGCTTTATAATGCTGGACTAGCTATACATGTGCCACCAATGAGCTCAAGGCAAATATCAATACAACTATACCCAGGAGAAATCTTTTTTCAAAGGAAAGCAAGGCCTAGATTACCTAAATTAAGCACTTGGATGCCCATAAACTAACTAGTAGCCTTAAAAAACATGTCACCTGTTTTTTGTGAGGCAGTGAGCCAGTGAAACAGCTCCTCCGTCACTGATGCAGTTCTTGTGGAGAGTGAGGTGAGTGAGAGTCGTGCCGGTGGTGCTCAGAGCGCCGGCCAGGTGATCACACCCCTCATCTGTCACCCCGCACGACGACAAGTCCAGCTCCCGGAGCCCCGAGTTGCCCCTCAATCCCCTGGCAATCATCTCCACACCGTCGTCCCCAATCTCACCATTCCCACATAGATTGAGGACTCTGAGACTGGTGTTTTGAGCGAGAGGATCGGCAAACCTCTTGGCTCCACTCTGACCTATACCACAAGACTTGAGACATAGGACCTCGAGACAAGAGTTGTGGGAGAGACTCAACGCTAGTTCTCTCGCTCCCTCGTCCCCAATGTAGTGGTTCTCACTGAGATTCAACTGTTGGAGATGAGACGTTGTAGAGAGGAAACGTGAGATGCTGGCCGCCCCGACTCCGTTGATGAAATTTGAGAGGAGATTGAGGGACGTGATTCTGGGGTTTTCCTCCAGTGATTGGAGTAAATACTCCAACCCAGTCGGAGTATTCCCACTCTGTGCTAGACCGAATGCGGTGAGGTGTGTGCAGTGGGGGAGGGCAGAGGCAAAGAGCCGCGCCCCCTCGTCCCCAACACAGCAGTCGTGTAGATCCATCTGGGTGGCGTAGAGAGTGAGAGAGAGGAGGGGAGAGGAAGGGAGGGCTCCAGCCAGAACCTCTGCCCCCACAGCTGTGACGTTATTCAGCATCAGAGTCAGGTGTTTGATACTGGGCGTCTTCTGGATCAGCTGCGAGATCATGCACACAACACACATCATTGTGGGTAGATAGAACACAACAGTAGAGCACAAATAAGAAGTGAGGAGTTACTGCCCAAAAAGAAATTGCATCATACTTCAGACAAGTAGGTTGCTCCGTGGTCGCTGCACTCTCTGAGGTCGAGGGTGAGTGTATGTAGCGACTTGTTGACCAGGAGAACCTCTCTCACTATCCTCCCCACCTCCTCGTCCCTGCATCCGCTCCTCAGAACCAGTTCCCGCAGGCTCCGGGCCTGTCCCAGCGCCGACAGCATCTTCTCGGCCGTGCTTACCTCCAGACGTAGCGCCGCCAAACCCTCTTCCTGATCGGCCTCCAGCTGTGGGCATCGATCCTGGGCCGTCACCACTAGTGAAGTTCCTGTTGTGAGGCTGCTACCGCTGTGCGTGAGCTTGAAACCCGACATTGTCCGCCTTGGCCTGCCTCTAGCTCTAGTCGTTGCACGGATCGAAAGAAAGGGAGGGGCTCAAGGACATGGTAATGCGCATGCGCATCGCATATCACGGCAAATAATTTGCCACAGCAAAGCGCAGGGACGATAGATGAATACTGGCACAGATACTCCATAATGAACACTGTCAAGCACCTTAGCGGTGTGACAGTTAGCGCTTTCGGCTGTGTACACTTATCTAGAATGTTTCTCTCTGGTCTGCCAGTGGTGAAGGAGAAGGCCTGCAGCTAGCCCAACACCTCCTCCTACAACCAGCCCCACCACAGCTCCAACACCTGCTCCTGCAGCCCCAACCGTGGCCCCAATCCCCGCACCAATGGCCACCCCATTCAGTGCTACACCAATTCCCGAGACCAGACCAGCAAGGGCCATATCATTTTTATCCACCACGATGGGTTGCTCGTACCCCTTTTTACTGAAATCCTTTTCATTGACATCACTTGCTCTCTTGAGGCGATGCAGGTTCAGTAGCGTTATGCCCGGCTTTGAGTGTTGTTTTGCGCACTTGAGAAAGACCAACCACAGCTTGCTGAGCCAGTACTCTCGGCCTGGTAGGTGTGGCTTCCGGGGATGTCCAGCAGGCTGGACTGGAACCTTCTCCGCTATCTTCTTTGGAACACCTGCTTCAATGAGTGCTCCTTGGATTCTCCCTTCCCATTCCTGCAGCTTATCATTGAATAACCTCTCACAATCAGGTTTCACTTTCAGCATTGCTTCCAGTGTGTTGGCAAACGTCAGGACGAATATGGCGTGTTTCCACAACTTCGGACCGAAAGTTGTCGTCAACTTGTTGATGGCGCGGAGTTCTTTTTGCGCCACCTTCAACTCGGATCGAGTTGTTGCGAGCTTGATGCAGAAAATTACGACATCGACGTCGCTGCACTTTGCTTTTAGCTCGGCAAGATACTCTTCCTCGTTCCCCGAGCTGTCCTGAAGACCAGGCGAATCCCACACCACTACCTCAACTCCTTCCTCTGTCGTAACTTGGTAGTCCGTTACGACCTTCGTTACAGCGCGCATGTTCCCAGCTTCCGCGACGGGCCTGCCGACGAGGGAGTTGACTAGCGTCGACTTTCCCACTCCCGTCCTCCCTGTTATCAGGATCTCGATTCGTTTCCTCCTGCTATCTGTAATCCACTTCTTTATTTCTCCTTTCTCTCGCTTTGTGACTGGGAGCCTATCAATAGCTGTTGACAGGTTCCAGCGGCGGTACGGATCCTCCGCTACCGTTACGGGATCTGCAATTGAGCCATCTTTTCTAAATTCTAGGCGGATCGGACCAATAATCGTACTAGCTAATTAGCGCTAGCTGCGCGTGACGGCACGGTGTAAGTAGCACGACTCTGCCATGGCGGCGGACATCGTTGACTCGGACATCTACAATAAATTCGTGCTGCTCCCCGACAAACATTCGCCGAGACGTGCTCCAGTGGTTCAAAAGCGCAAAGAAGTCCACATTTTCATCACTGGGAGACTGGGGTCGGCAAGTCGACTCTAGTGAACGGGCTCGTAGGCGAATTGGCTAAAGAGGGCGACGGTCTAGACCCAGAAACCGCCGAAGTTGCAAGTTACGAAAAGAAATTCGAGTGGCAAGAAAATGATTCCGTTACGGTGAAGGTGTGGAGCTCGGCTGGACTGCAAGACGGCACTTCTAACGAGGCCCAGTATCTGGCAGACATGAAGGAGAAATGTTCTGACATGGACATCTACATCTACTATGTTAGTTTGAGGGAGACACGTTTCGAGAAACACGTCACCGCCATGAAGAAACTCACCAAAATCTTTGGGAAGAGAATGTGGGAGAATTCTCTTTTCGTTCTCACACACGCAAATCTAGCCGAAGATATGGACGCAGAGATACTCGAGGCAGAGGATGGACAGAAACCCGAACTGTTCAAAGCCATGATACAGGCGTGGAAGGAGAGTGTAGTTTCTACTCTCATCACTCATGTTGGTGTCGATGAAGCCATCGCCAACCGTATCGAAATTGTGCCAGCAGGGTACTCAATCGATCCCGCTCTCCTCGATCGAGACCATTGGCTCAGCCCTGTTTGGTTCGCTGCCCTCTACACCATGAACCCGAGAGCCCAGCCTGCCATGATGAAACTCAACTTTGGCCGAATCGTTGAGAAACCAGAGGAGATTCGTGACGAAGACCTCCAGAAATTCATCCACGAGCAGCCACTGATATTCTCCCAGCGTGGAGCGGCAGTCGGTGAGAAGTATGGGGAGAGTGAAGTTGGGAAGGCCGTTGGGTGCAGGATGGGGAAAGGTGCCTCAGTTGAGATAAAGCTGGTTCTTGAGCTACACGCTGTAGCTGTGGAGATTGCTAAACGGCTACAGAAGGCATTCATGGAGTATATCGAAGGAACTAATGAAGCTAAGAAGGGAGAGTGACATTGTTTGTACGTGTATCTCCTATTGTACCCTGTAAGGAAATTAGTAGTTTGCCTCGCTAGCAATTTCAATTATCATCCTGGGGAGGTTGTGCTGGCATGCTACGGTGTGCGAAAAGATGCGTTGTTTGTATGTGTATCTCCTATTGTACCCTGTAAGGAAATTAGTAGTTTGCCTCGCTAGCAATTTCAATTATCATCCTGGGAGGTTGTGCTGCCATGCTGCGGTGTGCGAAAAGATGCGGATGCCCAAACTGGAACGCCCCAAAAAACGAGGTGAAAAAATCCACAGCTGGAGATTTCACTTGATTTATAAAAACACTAACTGCTTTTGGCTTCGCATCTTGCTATGCAGGCAGCATTCCTGTGTCTGCAAAAGGCGGAACGCCCCTAAAACGCTACAGCTATAGACTGAGTATTAGTAGATAAACACATACCCTTCAGAGTTTAGGAATTAAATTTTCTGCCTTCCTGCATTAAACTTTCTCTGGCTCCTCATCACATCTCTTCCCTCTGCACCACATTTGTCGTGGGTGATGCGGGAGGAAAGAGAGAGTCATGGCACCCAGAATCGGAGCCATCCTCAGTAAATACACTGTAACTGGGAATGAGATAACCTCCAAGTGGGGCACACCTTATGCTTGCTCCGCACAGCATTGGTGGGGCTGACAGTAAAAAAAAATGATGAAAATAATTATGACAGTAAATGAGATGGATGAGGGAATTTGTGATTTTCCGTACTACTTGAGAATGGTTTTCCTGGTGGTCTTGGGGAGGGGGAGGGCAGCGAGACTGCCGACCAGCAGGAGACAGGCCGTCAGGAGGATGGGGACTGCCGGGTTGAAGCGGATGAAGACACCAAAGACATTGGTTCCGAGGATGGCTCCTATTCTGGCAAATAACAGGTGCATCCCCTGTGACGAGGACCTGCGGAGGGTGAGGGAGAGAGAACAATAAACCAGCTCTACCTAACTGCAAAGACTGCAGAACCCTACTCACTCTATTATAAGTAACAAACCAACCAAGAACAACATTAGGAATAATAAAATTGCAGAGGACGGCAAAAACGCAAGCTATATACAGCAAGTATAAACTGCATCAGTATTGTCAAACTAGAGGAAAGTGTGCACAGACATGACTGTAGCAATTCAAAGAAATTGTGGGTCCAATAATAAGAGGATTTCCCCATCATCATTGTACCTGAGGTGTGTTGGGTAGAGATCGCTGTTGAGGAGACTGGTATCGTTCCAGGCTGGGGTGGAGAGGGCAGTGAAGAGGCAGAGAACCACCACCACAAACACCTCAGTGTGGGCCACGTACAGGAGGAAGACTGAGGCCGTGCTGGCAAACATACTGATAGCTGGAGGAGGGAGGATGCGATGGGAATAGCGAGGGAGAAGAAGAAAAAACGAGAGGTGAAAAGTTCTGATGTGCATGGTGTGCAACCATTATTATATAATTATTCCGCAAGCTAACATATCTTGCAGTCAATAAGTATATGAAACATGCATTAATGTACCAGGCCTTCTCCCTGCTCCCTGCACTGTACATACACAGAACCATGGAGGGGGGAGGTAAGGTAAACACTCTGCTGCTCACAATGGAGAAGCAAACACACACACAAACACTATATATACATGTGCTGGACTATAGACTGACCCATCCAGTAGTTCCTCCTCATGAAGTACACACCAATGGCAGAGGCAATGTTCCCAACACTCGCCGATGCAGCCACGAAAAACAGATCCCGATACACCGACCCCGACTCCTCCCCCTCACACTCCACCTGCCTCACACCCTCACAGCTAGTGGCATTCCCTCCCTCCAGCACCCTCACCAACTCCCCAAACTCACCACTCCCCACCTCCCCTCCTCCTCTGCCAATCACCTCCCCCTCGCAAGAACTCAGCCCTGTGACATTAACACCAACGAAATCCGTGGCGTACCATCCAACACGAACCATCTGTGTCCCCTCTCCAAACACCACATTCTCCATCGTGCAGTTTGTAAAGTTGCAACTCTCCAACAGTGATTCAGTGAAAGTGACGTTGGTAAACCGCACGTTGTGAAAGTCGGCGAGATTGAGTTGAAAATTTGCAAAGCGAGTGTTGGAGAAATGTTGGTCAGAGAAAGAAGCTCCGTCACAGCCGCAGTAGTCATATAGAGAGACGTTCTCTGGAGTCGAGCGGTGACAGAATCTCGAGAACTCTGACCTCTTGTCGGCATTAGTGACCTGTTCCACATATGATGGATACCACAGTAGCACTCCATACGACCTGAAAAGGTAAGACAGCCGTAATTTGAACAATAGACTCACTGTGTATCTTAACTCATGTTTAACGTTGTATCAATAACTATTGATGCGTACTTTAGCACTGAGGCCATTAGCTTCTTCTTAGCATGCGCACGCCAGAATAGCGATTGAGACAGAGAGGACAGACATGTACACTGCCACAAACCAAGTATTGTAACCCTCATGCACATTGAGTGTTAGGTTAAAGAAGGGTGTGTGTGTGGGGGAGATGGGGGAATCTTACCCAAAGAGAGAGTAAACAAGATGGTGCTCATGAGAATAGTTCGTCTGCAGTATGTCCGACTGTACAGCTCTCGTGTGTGAGACATCAGCTGTGAGAACAAAGACACAACACTCAACTTAGCTAACAGATAGCTGAGTCCACCACCACCACTGAGGTATCGAACTTCGTTACTTTATTTACGACTCAGATTTCGTGACTCAAAACTTCAACCAACGGTATTTAAAGAACTTAAGACTTCAATCGACCACATTGAAAGAATGTAAATATGGTTGGTTCAAGTATTCTAATACAAGCTCACCTGTCTCACGTGACCTTTGAACCTAGTCCACCGCTGCGAGAGGGATCCTCCGGTCTTGACCACCCCCACCTCGTCAGCATGGACGGCATCCACGCGGATGCTCTTGATGAGGAAGTGAGACTTCCTCTTGTGGAAGTGGTTGATGGTGTGCACCAGTCTCAGGTTCCTCAGAGCCTTCTCCTTCCTCCCATGCTACGGAGAAAGGTGTACGGAATGGATGTGAGTATGGTGTCGCTATAACAAGCTGTGGCAATGTTCTCCCATACTCACAACAGTATATGTACATGTATATATACCTGTATAAACATACCTCTAGTAGATATCTGGGGCTCTCTGGTAGTAGGAGATAGAGCAAGGCCCCGCAGAAGGCAGGGAGAGAGGAGAGGAATATGTAGAGTCTCCAGCTGTGGAAAGCTCCAGTGTCCAGGGGAAGGATGAGCCAGGCCACACCTGCGCAAACGAGCCGGCCTGCGGTCCAGAAAAAGGACTGGAGAGACATGTAGGTCCCGCGGTATTTGTTGAGTGTGAACTCTGCTATGTATGGGAATATCACTGGGAGAGAACCTCCCACACTGGTTGGAGAGAGAGGGAGAGGAAACAGAGAGAGAGAGAGAGAGAGAGAGAGAGTGTGTGCGTGTGTGAGGGAGTGAGAGAGGGAAGAAAGTGCAAAGTTCACTGTTTACCGTCCAATCAGTGTTTCATTACTGCTGTAAATTTCCCAAAGCTGCCAACGGTTAGACAATCTATCTGTGGTATGCCATTGTTTAGTGCATAGCTGATTCGAATCGACCAATCAGATTTGTTAGTACGAGGTTAGACAATCTATCTGTGGTATGCCATTGTACGTAAGGCGGCAGTAAGCATGAAATCTGGCTTTATCAGCTTTATGGCGTAAAATATTTGCCTAATCTAGTAATACATTGTGTTCAAATTGGCGTACCCAATACCGCTAATGAAACGGCAGAGAATAAAGACGGAGATGTTGGGGGAGAAGGCAGATATGGCTCCGAATAGCCCGTTCACGGCGAGAGATCCGATGAGGACGAACCTCCGACCGAGGACATCGGCAAACCCTCCCCACGTGTAGCTCCCACAAACATTCCCATGAAGATGACGGAACTGAGGAGAGCGTTCTGTGCATCGGAAGTGGCAAACCCCTCCCGCTGGAAGATCGGGAGTACAAATGCCAGCGACAGCAACTGTGAGGAACAGAATAGCCAGCACGTTGGTGTTAGTATGGCGATATAGTATATTATACTGGCACGAAAGAAGATAGATTGGAGGGGCCTCGTGTCAAGTTTGCTGGAGTTTCACATTCCTCTCCCCCTGAATACAGGCCCTCTCTCGTGTGAAACCTCCCCGAGACGCGTCCCTCTCACCTCCACGGCGTCCGAGGCCAGAGCCACGCCGTCATACACATGAGGATCACGTGGAAGAGCCCAAACCCGGCGTGCTTGAGCGCCACCTCGTAGTCCCTGGCCTCTCCGGCCTCGTCTATCTCCGGCTCCTCTCCGATGAGGCTCTGGGCGTCCTCCGGTCCCCTCTTTCCCCCGCCATCCTCCCTCTCGGCCTCCGATTCCGACTCTATGCCCGGGTCTCCGTCCAAAACGACGGCTTTTAGCTCGACTTCGGCTGCTCCCCTCCCTCTCCATGTCCTCTCCCGCTACGGTATAGGACCTGGTAACCGAATGATGAGCTACTTGTTGTACTGGACATCACAGAGGCTCTGCCTCTGGACTCGAACTTACCCAATGCTGTGTTGTCAGTTGTTGAGCAACAAGTGAGGGGCGGAGCCAAATATTGGCCTTTGAACCGAGCGCTTCTCTAATTGAACGAAACAAATTACCAACTTCCGGAATTCCCAAGTGTGTGTAACAATTCAGTTGGCACTTCCTTCTTCGATCACCCTTGTCCTCACTCTCCCACTGGTATTTTGTTCGTCGATTCGCCGGCCCAGTCACTTTTCTCTACCGTGTGGTCTGACAATAAGGCGACCACGGAGACGGGTTCGATCTCACTCGCGCAGAAAAACACCCGTAGGAGCCACCCGACCAATCGCCGCCAAGAAAGTTAGAGAGGAAGGGACGGAGAATGAGTAGGCCGAAGGACTCGCGCGTGAGAGCTCCGTCTTTTGTTGACGGCGGCGCCAATAGAGGAGGCCAGTCTGCCACACAGGGCGGAATGATGCGCGTTACAAGTAAGAAATAAACCCCGTTCATGTATTTTGTGACGCCTGTATAGCTAGAGAAGTGTGTGTCGCAGTTAGTGGGTTGTCTGGTGTTGCGTTAGTGTGGCAGGGGACTCTGCTCTCGCTTTCACTGTGACTTTGATGTGGAAACTGGGAAATATGTGGACAGGCTGTTAGTAAAGGGGTGTGACACGTCTTTTGTGTGATCACGTGACCGTCACATGACTGGTATGTGGGTTGCAGCAGTTGGGGGTTAGAGACTACAGGTAATGGTCACGTCTCAGTATTTCATCCTGGTTCTTGGCACAAGTTCTTACCAACCATGATTTCCTGTGTGACTGCACCGGTCTAAGAGTGTGTTCATTGCATCACTCTGTCTTTCTTATAGCTTTCTGTCTCAGTAACCTCCCACACACTACACATAGTCTGTCAGATACATCCCAGTGTCTCTGCTCTAGTAAGATGCAGTGGAAAGTGAGTGAAATGTTCTTTTCCAGAGTTTACTCACTTTCAATCTGTAGTGGGCAAGTAGGGGGAGTTTGAGGCTGCCATTTTATTTTACAGTGTGAATAGGGGATTCCTTTGGGAGAACGGATGATTGACCACAATAGCATTAGGATACTGTGAGCTCTGCTGATGTGGGAAAGTCAACAATAGCTGGTCCCCCCCAGGAGTCACCCCCCAGACAGTTTCCCTACCTCCTTAGACATCAGTTCTTCCTGTACAAAGGGTCCTTAGGTGCACAGTGCATGGTGGAACCCCTCTAACCTAGACACGGGACGAAAGTGTCCAAATGTGAAGCATCCTTAATTCAAGGGTGCAAGCTTGTTGTCCTTACTGGAGAGGTGTCCTCATTTCAGAGGTGTTCTTAGAGAGGTGTCCTCATTTCAGAGGTGTCCTTAGGGAGGATTCAGCTGTAATACTCCAATTTTACTTAGTAAGTCAGTAAATCACTGATGTGTAGCTAGAGAGAGATGTGGTTGTGGTTTCCAGGAGTGTTGGTGGAAAAGTTGGTTACTGGTTGAATGTGAGAATCACTTTCAGTGTGTTCACCCCCAATTTGGCTGTGCCAGTTTTCCCCTCTACACTTACTGGCTTTTCCCACCCTTTCCCATTCCTCGTCAGGAATGTGTGTGGTGACCAACGGGTTTGCTTGTCTGTGCATCCCACCCCACCAGCCCTTCTATCTCCATGTATATACTCTTGCCCTCACCTGCTCCCTTCCTTGTGTTGGCCCCTCCTTGCCCATTCCCTTTGTTGTGAACCTCATTGCCCCCTCCCTTGTGCAGTACCCTCTCCATGTGAGACAACTGACACTCCTACTCAATGGTCTCATTTCCCTCCATTCCCACCACATCTGCCAACACTAGTCTTTAAACCTCTGGCCTGCCACTGGCTCACTGCTATGTGACCCTAGCCAATGGTTTCCTGGTTTCGAATGTCATCTTGTCACCTGAAACTACAGCCTCTGCCAATATCAGTTCTCTACTATAGACCACTATAACCAGAAAGAAATGTGTCCTTATGAAGGTGTCCTCAATTCTGAGAGGTGTCCTTAGAGAGAGGTTCTACGTATGTCATTCCTGTAATAACACTGGTCTCTGTGTGTACAGTAGCTTGTGTGTTGGGGCATTTGAACTGAATGTGAACTTGTCATGATGTCATCATCCTGATTACATTCACGGCCCACTCTTCATTCCAGGCATACCAGGGGTTTGGGGGTGTGGCTACCCCTCTCTCACTCTGGGTGTTTATGGTGGTGAGGTCTCATTGGGGGCTCAGGTTACTCATCATTAGGAGTCTCATAGCCTTGTCCCCTCCATTAGCCAACGACTACGCACCTTGCGTGTACCTACATGTGCCTTCCTCTCTATCATGTCGCGGTGTGTTGCGTTGACGTTGGGGGTAGTGTACTCTGTACCATGTACTATACTGAGTATGTGTTAGCACACCTGCTGGTGGATCCAGTGACTCACGTGTGTTCAGTGAGACTGCCTTTGTGTCCTTTGTTTCATTCTGCCTCTCCAGCAAACCTTCAACACTACATGTGCAAAGTCTGCTCAGCTGTGTGGATTGCACATATGTTGTGTTCACTTAACCCACTCCAACGTGTACATACATATGGCGTCCTCTTAGCCTGGTGTGTTAGTTCTGTTTGCATGTGGAGTGGTAAATGGGTCCTTAGCTGGGGCAGGAGTGACTTTCCTCTCCTCTTACATGTACGTTCACATCCCACCAAGGGCAGCTCTCCTTTCAGTGTTTTCCTGGGTGTAGTTGATTTGTTGGATACACTTTTGCATTCATACACAGTATGTACCTACATAGCTATCATTCTCCATTATAGTGGTGTTGTATGGAGATGTATAGTGGTAATGCAAGTGTCCTTGACTGGCGGTGTATAATTATGTCAGTCTCTAGTAGGCCAAAGTCCATTTGTAGTCACAGTGGATAAGGTGTGGACCACACTTCACTGAACATGTACATGACGACACACTAAATAGGAAGGCCTGGGTTTGGTTTTGCTAATGGAAACATACAGTTGGCTCACATGTTGTGGTCACTATTGCCGATTGTAGTTTTTTCTTTCTGAGGTTGGGCTTCTATAGTTCAAGGTTCGATCCACTGCATACAATTGGGCGCTCCCGCTCGCCAATTATGATGATAGGGGGTTCTGTACTATTTTAGTCCCTGAAGCATTAGGTTCAATTGCCTTCGTAATGGAGGTTACTCTGTATTATACAATAATCTGGAGGTTCTATTATTTATAGTCCACTACTGAGGTTCTATATCAAGGCAATATGGAGGCTGTATAGTTAGGTATTAAAGTATCCCCTCAGGAGGAAGGGTGCATCCACTGACCACAGGGTGAGGTGCATCCACTGACCACAGGGTGAGGTGCATCCACTGACCACAGGGTGAGGTGCATCCACTAACCACAGGGTGAGGTGCATCCACTAACCACAGGGTGGTGTCCACAGGTAACTAACACTTGCCAGAGGCTGGGTACAGTGGTTGTTGGGTGTCTGTCTGTCTTTGAAGTGGAAGATCAAGGAGCTGTCTTCCAATGACCTGGGACTACAGTACACCTTGTTCAGACTGAGGAATGTGGTTGGGACATCATTACACGATCTTCTGATCTGACCTTGTTCCTTTTGCTCTCCCTGTCACTGGTAGTCTTCTCAGGTGTGTATACCATCTTCTTGTCTTATCCTCCATGTACCTTGCACTCCCTCCTTCTTGTCTTGTCCTCCAGCGAGTAGTTCACTCTCTTTTGTAATCTCTTACTTGTTAACGACTCACAACAGGGGTGAAATATATCTAACACGAAATACACCCACTTCGTCTTTAATCTTACGTGTGCATGGAAGGAGTTTCTGAAACCAAATCTTTAACAGAGCTTTCGCTCTTCTCTCCTCTTTTGTGAACTGTTTCATGTTGTTAAAAAAAACCACAAACAGCGGTAATATAACAGTTATGCTGAGTTTATGTCTAGAAAAGGCACATCTCTCTACTCTTTCTCCTCCCCACTCTACAGAAGGTAAAAACGGGAGTCGGGTCACTCACGTGACGGCGACGGTGGGAGCTCCACCTGACAGGCAGGAGGACATCAGCTACACGGACCTCAGGATCATCGGGAGTGGGTCCTTCGGGGTGGTGTACCAGGCGAGGCTCCTGGAGACCAACGACAGCGTGGCCATCAAGAAGGTCCTCCAAGACAAGAGGTTCAAGGTTAGAGAGAGAGAGAGAGGAGGGAGAGAGGTGCTGTAAAGATGAGATGGGGGGGGGTCGTGAAAAGAGGAGAGAGAGAGAAAGGTAAAGAGGACAGGGGGGATTGTGTCTAATGAAGTGAAGCAGGGGGGAGGAAGGGCAGTTAAACCATGGTTCCAAGTTTAAGAGGGGAGGAGAAAGGGAGATAAGAGGTGGAGAGAAAGACGGTATTTGAGGTATGGGTCGGTGGTGCCAAGAGTGGGTAATTGCGAGGGTGTCCACAGCTAACTGCCCTCAGTTGAAACTGTATGCTGAGAAATGGGAGTGGGAATAAGTGGCTGACAATTCCTCCCTCTCCTCGCACAGAATCGAGAGCTACAGATCATGAGACGACTCAGCCACTGCAACATCATAAGACTGCAGTATTTCTTCTACTCATCGGGAGACAAAGTTAGTCCCCCCTACCCCTCCCTCTCCCTCTCTCTCTCTCTCTCTCTCTCCTCTCTTCTTCTCTCTGTATGTGTTGACAGAGCTCTCCACTAGCTCTGCCACTAAGGCTATCACAGCTGGGGCAGAAACACAATCCTCTCATTATGATATATATATACCACCACCACTGACCTCAGGCTATCCACTAGAAAGATAACTGTTTGTGTTATCAGACTTCCCCATTGCATTGAGAGTGTCTTCTGGGACTTTTGGCTTTTCCTCAAATTTACCGTTTTCCCTTGAATTGTAGCTCTGTTTCCTCCTTATGTTCACAATGTTCACTGGTGCCACCAAAGACCAGTGTGTGTAGTACATGGTATACTGTATTGGGAATAGTAGAGAGGTCAGGGTTCATCGTGATACACCTCGGGTGTGGGTTGAGTTGTGAGTGATTCAGTGTTTGTCCCTGGGCTGTTGGGAACCCCAGCCATCTGGACTATAGGGGGGTTGTCATCAGAGCTGGCCTATTGATGTGGTGTAATGTGATAGCCCCTGTCTAATGCTATAGTTAAGGGTTCTACCTGGGAGGGAAAACCATCTGTGGAATGTGGAATGCACCTCAGAGAAAGGAGTAGGACACTGTTTTACAAATACATTTCATAGTAGACATTTGCCTACTGGTGCAAATCCTTTTCTTTGCACCAGTTGTGTGTAGTGTTCGCTCACTCACCCTCCCATCTCTCTCACCTGTCTTTCCCGATCGTCTCTCTTCTCCCAACAGAAGATGAGTTATACTCAACCTGGTCCTGGACTATGTACCGGGAGACTGTGTATCGCGTCATTCGACATCACAGCAAGCAAGCAAGTCATGCCCCAGCTCTATGTCAAGGTACATACATGCCTTCAGCTTGTCAGGGGTCTCTGAAATATGAGGGTGCATGAACTTTAACTAACTTTAGAACTCATATGCACAATTGTGCTGAGTGGAAGAGCGTATAGCTAACGTTGCATAATAGCGTGTATAGGTACCGTTTTAGCCAACTCACACCTTGCGTGTCTATGTAGCAGTGTGATGTCTATGTCATTCGAGGCCACACCAAATCACGGATTATGAGAGTGATTTTTCTTCAACTTCCTCTCCTCTCTCCATGGATTGTAAAGTTCATTTTGCAACTCTCTTTCTCTCTCTCTCTCTCTCCCCTCCGCTCTCTCTCTCTCTCTCTCCTCCGCAGGTGTAACATGTACCAGCTGTTCCGAGCGCTGGCCTACATCCATGCCAACGGAGTCTGTCACAGAGACATCAAACCCCAGAACCTTCTTCTCAACCCAGAGACTGCATCCTCAAACTTTGCGACTTTG